ACTACTAAGAGCTTTACCAAGCGAAACTGCCGATGGCTCATTAAATCAGTTCTGACTTCTTAGAGGGACAAGTGGCGTTCAGCCACGCGAGATTGAGCAATAACGGGTCTGTGATGCCTTAGATGTTCGGGGCCGCACGCGCGCTACACTGAAGGGATCAGCAGGTAGCCGCCCTTGGCCGGAAGGTCTGGGCAATCCGTTGAACCTCATTCGTGCTTGGGACAGGGAGTTGCAATTGTCTCCATTGAACGAGGAATTCCCGGTAAGCGCAAGTCATCAGCTCGCTTTGATTACGTCCCTGCCCTTTGTACACACCGCCCGTCGCTACTACCGATTAAATGGTTTAGTGAGATCCTCGGACGGGCCGCGGCGGGGCCCCCCGGCGCCTCGCTCTTGCGCCCGGAAGACGATCGAACTTGATCATTTAGAGGAAATAAAAGTCGTTACAAGGTTTCCGTAGGTGAACCTGCGGAAGGATCATTACCGAGCAGAGAGAGCGTGTCCGGCCGGCCCCTTTCCGTCAGCCGAGGCGGTGAGGGCCGGCCACCATGCTGTCTTCCCGGTGTAGGCGGGAGTGACCCACGCCGGGGTGCGCTGGAGCCCGCGCCCGGCCTCGAATGGACCGGGGGATCGGTGAGACGCCGTCGGAGCGGCCCCCCTTGGGGAAGGGGGCCACCGCACGAGAGGCGACCGGTCCCCGCTCGTCCCGGCTGGTTTTTTCCGGATTTCTGAAAAGAGCTGGATGCTCCGCTACCGGGCCACCGGCACGGTTATCGAGAGGTGATGGACAGAGCCAACCCCCCCAAACGAAAGACAATTTTTGGCGGTGGATCACTCGGATCGTGCCCCGATGAAGAACGCAGCCAGCTGCGAAAATCAGTGTGAATTGCAGAACGCAGTGATCATCGGCATTTCAAACGCACATGGCGGCCCGGGCTTCGTCCGCCTGAGGGTCGCATTGAGCTTGGCAATCGCCGCGGCCGGGAGGGGCCGCGGCGCGAGAGCGCCGGCCGGCAGCCACGGGGCCCGAGGCCCCCGACAGGACACTTGCTGCAGGTGGCAACAAGGGGAGCGCCAAGACACTGGGAGGTTTCGGCGCGGGTCCCCCGCTCTCCGGGGAGGATGATATGGGAAATCTGCGGGCAGGCGAAGGGCACCGGCCGGGCGCGGTCTCCGCGCGGAGGGCCGGGTTGCTCCCCGGGGAGTCCGCCGTGGCGTGGCAGGTCGGCGCTGAGTATCCGGCACACCCACGAGCGCCGGTGGCCCCCCCCCCAG